CCAGGACTTATTCCCCCTTTGTATTTAAAATAGTGTTTAAATGTTAATACCTTTAAATATCAGTAAGATTTTTGTTGAAATTTCTTTCATCTTTGAAATGATAGAAAGTGACATTCATTAGATTCCAATGACAATGTACATGTTTCTCATGCTGTTAATGACAGGAAAGAATCAGCTGTCAGTATTTGGGAGTAAGTTTAGGTAACTTACTATCAGCTTTGCTACATATCTTAGACCATTGTTAAGTCATATTTTAGGCTTCATTTCTTCAAATAGTGAAACTTTATAAGCAGCTAGCACAGCCATGCTAACCTTATTGTGGGTAGAAAGACAAACTCTCAATTGAACCAAAAACAGAAATGGGAATGGGGCAGTGACTCATGAAAAAAATAAATTTTCTTCCTGAGAGCCATAAATTTCTATTCAAGGACAAATGAACAGAACCTGTGTGGATTGGATTTTGCTAATGGTAAACTAGATATATTGGGACTCTGAGTGGTGCCAAATAACCTTCTCAAACTTCAGATAGTTCCTTTCAGAAGAAATATTTCACCCTTGACGCAACGGGACCTAACTGTGCCAGCTTACTCAGCAAGTTTACAAGACTAGGTAGAGAGGAAGCTTTCAGGACTTTTAGGAGTCCAGCCCCAGTCCTGAGGAGATGTGGGACCTGTATCATTGTCCCTTTAAGATAATGCCAAGTTAGCTTTTAAAGGAGCCATGGTTCCATTGCCCAGGGTAACTGGGATTCCTTTTCCAAGCTTTTAGTTTCTTAGCTGTTTGTACTTTTCATACTGCAGTTGACTTTATTCAACACTCATCTTGTCGCCCTCTCACTCATCTTTGTACCTGGCCTGCCTCATAGAGCTTCATAACTTGGTCCTTCAGTGGCACAAAGCTATGTCTTCCAGAATTTGGCTGCAGGGTGGGGAATCCAAAGTGATTCTGGTTAAAAACTGAAGTCTCTGTCTTACCACTATCGAATGGTGCTAAACCTTTGCTAGGCATCAGAATTCCTGGGGCTGGGGGCGGATTACTGTGCCTCACCCCCTGAAGCTTTTGGTACAGTACATTTGGAGTGAAGACTGTGAATTTGCATTTTAACCTCTTCCCAAGTGCTATGGATGCTGCTGGCCAGGTATGCCACTCTCGGAACTCCGTTGCAAGATTTCTCCCATTCAAGTTTTCTCTGCATCTATTAGCTATTGCCACAATGAATCCAAATATATGCGGTTTTACTGTACTTCCTAGTTGACACTGAATTATGTGTTTTCTTATGCATAGGACCCTATATAAATTTGATTTAGTACTTTAAATATTTCATTAAATGTTTTGGAATGCATTACCGACATAGAAATGCATAGTATGATTTAATAATAACACCACAGCTGCCAGGGCATAGATCACTTAAATCTCAATTTATATTTTTATAGCATCTCTGCTGCATTTTCCTCCTTCTCTTCTCTCTCCCCCTTCTTTCCTCAAACACTTACTTCATACCTGCTCTTTAGGTGACCCTGGGAGACACCGAGATGAGATAAATAAATAGGTTTCCAGTCCTTTGAATGAAAGGTAGGGCTTTCGGCAAAAATAAGACACATGATACTGAATGCTCAGACTTTTAAAGAAAATAACTACTATATGCTGCTAGTCATAATTATATAAAATTTTCAGCTGACAAAACTTTATAATTTTCTAGGGAAATTGAAGAAGGTCTGTATCGCAAGGTTGCATGAATGTATGTGTTCCTGACATCTTGCAAATCCCTGGACTGCTGTGGGAGAATCCCAGCAATAAAGACTGGGTTGGAGGCAAAGATTTCACAGTGAAAGGCGCCACCTTCTGGCCACCCTTCTAGACCAGCTGGGGCTGAGAGCAATTGTGTAGCACAGATCCATTATGCACTAATAATTTAAGGCAGGCCACTTGTAAAGAATCTTTTTAGGCTTATAAAATGAGCACATGTGCCTGGATGTCTATATATTAGGCTGTACAAATTGTGCCTCAATGAGTGGATGGCTATAAAGCACTTTTTAAAAGCAGGAGAACAAGATCTAATGCAGCAGCATATTCAAGTATAGACTGTACTGTTGAATAGAGCTAAGGCCTGGCTATCACTTACAACCCTTGTAATTGTGGGAAAAATTTTCTCAGCATCATTGAGTTCAGTTTTCTCATCTGTAAAACTGGAATATAATATGAAACATTAATGAAGATAAAATAAGGTCATGTGTGAAAGTGTTTAGCATATTGTAAGTATGTGGTTGCTAAAACAACAGCAGAATAGCCACAAAGACAAAAGCATTTCATATAAATTCAGCTTTATCAATCCAGAGGTTATATGAAAAGATAGAGCAACCTACCAGTATGTTAAAGAAATATTTCAAGTGGTTAATTTAAAATTGTCAATCATTTGATAGATACTTATTCTCAAGCCTGAGAATGACAGTTTTTCAATGTGTCAGCCAGTCGGTATACTGGGAAATACACATGATGACAACACTGCTTTCATTGTTTTTGATGGCTTGGATTGAGTTAAGTCCCTGTATTCACAAATGCAGCATCAGGGAGAAAACAGTTGAAATTTTTCAAGAATTATTGAAACAAGAAAACATTTTGCTTTATTTGGATAAACTCATTTATCCAAGCTAGGTGTTGAAAACTGGGAAGTTTCACAGTGATATTTTTAATTAAAGCAAAAGCAAATAGACTCTCTCTAGAAGCCAAAACCAATACATGTGCTTATACAAAAGGAAAAAAAATAGGAATATGTTTTTTATGTTTCATTGGCAGACATATTCTTCAATTCTACTGCCTTAAATAATTTTGAATTCAGAGTACTCGTAAATCTGCCTTCTCTGATTTTTTACAAGCTAACCATTATCAGACAAAAAGATACACTAAAAGTAGAGCTTCATGAGTCAAGAGCCACTTGTTATGCACGCCGAGCACCAAATTCAGTGTTTTACAGGTATTGGCTTCATCTAATCCTCCCAACTCAATGAGAAGTACTCATTTTATACACCAGAAACTTGAGACTTGGAGGGATTTGTTATTTGTCCAGACCTTTCACCTACCATCCATTCATCTAGTGACTGACAAATCAGGGAGTTTCTGTAGGAGTTCTTTATGCTGTACTGCCTCTCCTATTGGTTTCCATTTGCCACGATGGATTATCAAAGTGTAGATACTGTCCAGTGCCTGTTTCTGGAATCCCTGCCTGCAGGCATGGGTATCACTTAATTAGAGCCTGAAGCTCTCTAGGTCTCACACAGACATCTGCTCATGGGAGTTTAGGAACAAGGGTGATCTTCCTTATGCAAGGGTGGCCCTATTAGAAGTAGTCAGGGTGCATTCCTGGGCCTTGTGGTGAAGACCGACGTAGGCTGTGTTCCACAGTGGAGTATGGAGCCTCAGGAAGATGTGTTGTACTACTGGACAGTGGGAGAGGCTTAGCCTCGAACAGTTCTGGGGTGTCCATTTGTATTTTCTTCTACAGATGCATCGAGAATGACCCATTTCAGACAGGAAAACATTCTCTTCTGACCCAAGAAGCTTTTAAAATAATGCCTTGGGTTTCCTCCTTTGAGACTTTGAGTCTTTTACCTGTTTTGGTAATTTTGTTGCTGGTACATTTTGTAAGTGTAAGGAACTATATGGGAGCACAGGGAATCCAGCCCACACTCCTGTGCACTCTGTGGTCCAGAGTGCCAAGTGTTGTGCCCATGGGCCCAAGTCCAGGTAGAGCTGGGGCTACAGTCAGGTTTCCTGTATTTGGCTGCAGAGACAGCCAGCCAGGCTTGTTCTCTAAAGCAGTGCTTGTTTTGTTTGTTTGTGCACATCTTAGATCTCACCTCAGTTGTTTTACTAACAGAGAAAAATTTTTGTTTACCTAGAATACTTGGGAAATTTTCATGGAAATCCCTAACCTTGCTACACATTCTCGCCTATGTTGTTACTATTAATAATAATTTAAAGAAAAAGAAATGAGGCTATGTCCTCCACTAGTAATAATGAAGCAGAAAAAATATATTTCTGCTGATCTTAGAGTGCTAGTGAATGTGGAATTTGGGTTACATAGTTTCTCTTCTTTTATCTCTCAGAGACACATCCATGTTTCTATACCTGGAAATTTTGAAGAAATATAGTAGGATATGTCCAATACTAATACTAAATCTGTGTGCTAAAAATAATGTTCTGTAAACTGTTTTAAGGTACATATGTGTGAGCTATGTAAGTGTATATGTGGTACGTGCATAATACATAGGTGGCCTCTATACATCACTCCTAACAATGATATTATCAAGTGCTGTCGCCATTCACAAATGAGGAAGCTGAGGCACAGAAAGCTGAGTAACTTATGCAGAATAAATATCACACACAGCTAAGGAACAGGTGAGGGAGAGGAAGGTGTAAAGACTCTGTGTCCATCCAGAGGTGATGCCACCTTCATGGCAGCTGTTTCTTGGGTGACGTGGGAGAACTTCAAATTTTTGGGATAACTCAGAACTCAACATTAAGAACCTTAGGTAGGAGTATGGCTTGGTGGAAAAACATTGAACCAAAACTCAGGTCAATAACTATGTATTTTTGTAAGTCAATAGTATGTTAAGTCTAGTTCTACCATTTATGTACTTGAACACATTCTTTGCACTGGATCTCATTTTCCTCCTCATCAAATGGGGATTTAATATGTGTCCCCACACTTCACAACAGTGTTCTGAAGACTAATGACAGGACAGATGTAAAGGCATCTGGAATCATGTGCAGTGGTACATAAATAGTCAGAAATTAGTTTTGCATGGCCTTAGTTAGCTTGGCTTTGGAAAGCTAAGCTGAAACTTGACTAGTTGGCCAACATGGGCCAAGAACCCAAGTGTCCTTATGTCCAACCTAAGGCCAGTTCCTTTTTGTGATCCTGTCCCCTGCAACTGAGAAGCTGAAGGCGTTTGGGCTTGCTTGTTTTAGTGCTTTGTATTGTTCTTGATAACTCTTCTGAAATGAATGCTTTCCCTCCTCAGTGTTTGTCATTTGTCACTTACAGAAGAAGACTGCATAAGCTGGGCGTATCGAAGGTTACCCAGGTGGATTTCCTGCCGAGGGAAGTGGTATCTTACTCCAAGGAGACCCAGACTCCTCTTGCTACGCATCAGTCTGAAGGTGAACTATGTCTTTTGTTTACTTTTCATGTTCTTGCCACAGACACAGCCAGGGAGTAACAACCTTTTTGTTGATATCGCATCTTACCATAAGAGATCTGCCTAGGATAAAAATGTCATGGCATACAGAAAGGTAAAGATGCTTTTGGTTCTGATTTTGAAAACCCTGGAGAGAGAACTCAGTGATACTCCTCCAAAAGACCCTCAGACTTTAAAACAGTGAAAACACACTATGTCAAAATCATCTGAGGAGGGTGGAAATGATCAAAGTGTACTGTATAATAGACACTTTTAGGAATGTTGTCAATAACAAGCATGAATACATGAAGAACCATCATTTACAGCAGTCAGCCCATACAGTCCACCACTGTTTCTAGAAATAAGGCATTACTGGGACACAAGTACTTCTAACCATTTACGGGTATGGCTACTTTCTTGATATAATGGTTAGGTTGAGAAGCCATGAAAAAGACCTTAGCTAGCTCAAAAGCCTAAAATCTTTAATCTAGTTCTTTACAGAAAATCTTTGTGGAACCTTGGTTTGCTTGGCCAATTCAGATGACTGATGAGTGTTTCTGATCTCAATTTTAGAATATTTTCCATACAAGCCCCACAAAGATGAATGAGAATTGAAATCCATACCTCCTTTGTACACTACAGAAAGTATCAACTGAAAACTCACATGCAAATCTCAGCATATTGTAAAAGGACATTAATAAGAGAAATCGTAGCTGATAAATCAGAATACTTCGTAGAAGTAAGAAATTATGCCAAAGCAAAATTGTGTGAAAGTAGAAGAGGGAGATATGTGTACTGAAGACAGGAAAGTGTTAGAGAGTAACATTGTAGATAGAGCAAAACAAATTCTCTTTTTACTTCTTTATGTTATTGCTTGGTGTGACAAAGAGGACATTGGCATTCTGGGTTCATTGTTGTTATGTAAATATGACCAAAAGCCACAAGAATGAGAAATAATTAGCATGTCTCTGCTTGCTTGTAGCAGATGCATAAATCAGTGCTGTTTGGCTTGTGCAAGTTACAGAGATTTTCAAGTTTGATTCTAAATACATAATGTCAAAAGCAAAATGAAATCTGAGTGCTGCCTGCAGGCCTTCTGAAAACCTTCCCTCAGCAATGTCTGGGGAAAATTCTTTGGTTACAGGGCCTCCATTGCTCAAGCCCTGTGATAAAATACGAACTTCTGAGGTAGGCAAGTAGCACCCTCTTGTGGTGAAATTTTAAACCAGCCAATCAACAACTTGAGGCCTGTGGTGTTAACGTGGCAGAAAATAGAAAGTTAGAGAAGCCTGTGAGAGTCCTATCCTTGAACCTCCAGACAAGAACAGGAAGATCATTAAAAAACAACCTCACCACCCAACCAAAACATTTGCTTGAGTTAATTTGCTGCCAGAGGTATTTGCAGAACTGTAGCCAGAGGTATGTTTATTTAGCCCAAAATTTGGCCCATAGCATAAATTTATACAGCTGAAATAAGAGAAGGAGTGAATTATTTTTTTAAATGTGTATACTTAAGATATTGGAAATGGTACAGAATATTTACAAGGGGAGATAAATTAAGGATGAAAAGGCATCAGCTCTAAACTTTTAAACTGGAACACATCAAAAGGAAAAGCCGTACATTTCATTTTATTACTGCAAAGAGAGCTGGGGAGCCCTCATTATGCTGTGGTCCAAGCAGCAGGAAGGGAGGAATTTATTTCTTTGCTCTTGGTAGAAGTTCTTTCTGTTTTGCTAACAGACCTATAGAGCTTTCTTGTGGCGATGGATATTTAGATGGTTTAAATTCCATAAAGCTTTCTTGAACCTAAAACTAGCTTTCTTAGTCTGCCATGCCTCTTGACAATAAAGCAATCCCTGAAGGGTTCAGACAAAAAAAAAAAAAAACCTCTAGATTTGGGTTCTCCTTATTGCCCTCTCACCACAGCATGCGTGACCTTTAGCTGCCTGCAGTCACCCAGCCTCTTGGCTGCAGAGTGTCCCAGTGTGAAGGGAGTCAGCAGAAGGCATGCCAAAAGTGAAGTGGGCAGTAGAATCTTAGCCAGGGACAGATCTGAGCTGGCTCCCAAATTGGGCTTTAACCACAAGCAACGTCTTCATGACAGGTGCAGCCTTGCAGAGGCAGGAAACAACGACTACTGAATTTTATGACACCATGAGGCTCTGGATGATATTTGAAACTGTTATATTTACACAACCCACATTAGATCCTTATTACTTTAAACATATAAAGGCATGGTGATTATTGTTTAAGTCACTGTTTGACTTTGGAAAATTGAATGATATTCAAACTGGTGATCTGAGCACAATGATTTCTCCTACCTCGAGTAGAATTCTTGTGCATTCTTTTTCCAACATGCTCCCATTTTACTTTTTAAAATAAAAGAGTGGTACTTGGGATGTGCCTAAGCTTAACCTTCCTTCCTCTGCTGTGCATTGTAAAGAACATTCTCTTCATAGTGCTATTATCTTGTGATATAATGATCTGCTATGAGAAATACTCCAAAAATGATTTAAACTTGGAAGATTTAGGAATAAAGTCTCCATGAATACCGTTTTTTTTTTTTTTCTTCTTCTTCAAATGCCTTAGCCCTTGTCTGCTTAGGTCATTAGTTGCAAGGAAAGAAGGCTGAGAATATGGAACACTGATTGGGAGCAGAATATTCTCCTCCCCAAAACACTTTAGACACATGCTTTTTATTTCCAAATAGTAAGCAAGGGAAAAAATTATGGTTCCCTGCCGAACTGCCTCTGCTTTGCCTATTATTAATATTTGTTTGGGCGTTCCATGAGGTCTTGAGGTCAAGGAGCCAGTCTTCAGCATGTTTATTACAGTGAGTAAGTGATTGGCTCATAATAGGCACCCAGTAAATGCTGCTAAATATCAAAGATACGCCAGAAAGCTCTAGAAACTACAGATTTTCTCTGGCCCCTAGGGTGATGAGAATTTCTTTACCTGCTGGAAAAATGTCAGATAATTTGGAGGAAGGAACAGGAAACTTGTACAACTTGTTGATAGTTTTGAAGAGTTCTCTGACCTTCCTCCCTTCTTCATGGTGTCTTATAAATGGGAACTTTGTGGCTTCGTTTTTTTTCATTATAAAATTTTTATTAGGATATATTAATTATACGAGGGGGGTTCATAGTGACAATTCCAATTAGCCATATATTGTACAGTGGTTAGATCATGCCTATCCTCTCTCCCCCTAAACCCCCCCCCCGCGCCAATTAAAGCAATTGCAAGAGGTGTCTTTGTTCTATTTCATGTGAGAATATGAAATCCATCAACCATATACCCTCACCTAAATCTCCTTCATTCGTCCTCCCCCTCCCACAAGTACCCCCCCGACACTCTGTACCTATTTTACAGTCCTGTTTTTCATTATTAATATTTAAGTTAACGTTCAAAGGAATTTCTCCATATATCCCCCCTGTAGGCACACTTCATTTTGATCCATTCAACCCTTTCCATTGCTCTCCCTTACCTCTTTACCACCCACCCCACCTTTTCAATAGCTTTCAGTACACATCCTTACATCCTCTACTTTCACAGATGTTATGTTTTACAGTATTACTGATGCCCTATCATTCTCTTTTCCTTTGTCTCTGTTCCTGATGTCCATAGAGTAGTTCTACTGTTACTAACATGTTCTACATATGAGTTTGCATATGATCATGCTTGTTCTTGTGTACATGTTTATTTTTCAGGTCTCTCTTCCATGTATGAGAGAAAACATGCAGTCTTTGTCTTTCTAACTCTAGTTTACTTCACTTAACATGATGTCCTCCAATTGCATCTATCTACCTTTAAAGCTTATGGCTGAGTAAAACTCCATTGTGTGTATATACCACAATTTCTTGATCCATTCATCAGCTGTAGGGCATCTGGGTTGTTCCCATAGCTTAGCTGTGATGAACACTGGTGTACAGGTGTCTCTATTGCGTGTTGACTTATGTTCCTTTGGGTAGCTGCCCAGGAACAGTATCACTGGATCATATGGCAATTTTATCTTTAGCTTTTTGAGGAATCTCCATACTGTTTTCCATAGTGATTGTACTAATTTGCATTCCCACAAACAGTGTATAAGGGTTCCTTTTTCACTGCATCCTTGCCACCATTTGTTGTTGTTATTGCCCTTCAATATGGTCATTCTAACTGGGGTGAGATGAAAGCTGAGTATAGTTTTGATTTACATCTCTTCTTGGTCACATAATTACTGTTAAAAAGAAGTTTCAAACAGACATAAAGGAAGAGACACTTGACTTGCATCTCTTTTGTAACCAGGAAAGTTGAACATTTCTTCATGTACTTACTAGTCATTTGTACCTCTTCCTTTAAGAATTCCCTGTTTAATTCATGTGTGTGGCTTCATCTTGGCCTCCCCTTTCCCTCCATTTCTTCCCATGCCTTATTTTTTATGTCAAACAAATTTGAACTACCTAATTTTGCATGGTGCCCTACAAGCTCATGTCTCCATATTGCACATGCTGTGTTCCATGCCTGGAATGCCAGCTCTCCACTGTGCCTTCCTTCAGGGATATGAACAAGGGTCAGCAGCTTGATAATTCTCTTCTAGCTGACATTCTTCCTCATACTGTGGGTATAGGCTGGTTTTCCCTTATCATACTATACTTGATTATTATTTGCATGTCTGTTTCTTAGATTGCAACCTCCTCAAGGGAAGGATCTGTGTTCTTTACTTATGTGCTGTACATAGTGCCTGGTTCAAAGAAGGTGGTAAATAGACATCAATGCAAGAAAAGAAGAATGAGATGATACTAGAGTAATAAGAAAGAAGAGGAGGGCTTGGGGCTGGGGAAATCCCAGCACTGGCAAGGAAAGAGAAGAGAAGGGGAGAGAAGAGGAAAGGAGAGGAGAGGAGAGGATGGAAGGAAGAAAGGAAGAGAGAGAGAGAGAGAGAGAGAGAGAGGGACAGAGGAAGGAAGGAAGGAAATAAGGAAGGAAGGAAAGAAGAAAAGAAG